GGCTACGTCTACACTGGCCCCTTTTCCGGAAGGGGCATGTAAATTTCAGCAGTCGTCGTAGGGAAATCCGCGGGGGATTTAAATATCCCCCGTGGCATTTAAATAAAAATGTCCGCCGCTTTTTTCCGGCTTTTAAAAAAGCCGAAAAAGAGCGTCTAGACTGGTCCCGATCCTCCGGAAAAAGTGCCCTTTTCCAGAGGCTCTTATTCTTACTTCAAAGTAAGAATAAGAGCCAGTCTAGACGCTCTTTTCCGGTTTTTTTAAAAGCCGGAAAAAAGCGGCGGACATTTTTATTTAAATGCCGCGGGGGATATTTAAATCCCCCGCGGATTTCCCTACGACGACTGCTGAAATTTACATGCCCCTTCCGGAAGAGGGGCCAGTGTAGACGTAGCCTGTGTGTGCAGGAAGCAGAACTTCCTTTAAAACCCTAAAATTTCTGCTATTTAACTCTGTCCAATGAGCACCAGGCACAGGAGTCTCTCCCAGCTTCCCCTTTGGCCCCTGCCTCCCTCTGAAAGGGACAGTTCCCTGCCTGCCATGGGCAGCGTGCTCTGTTATTCATGGGCTCTGGGAAATCACACCCAGAGCTGCAGGGGACAGATCTCAGCATCAGTGTTCTCTTCAATCGTCTCCATCCATGTGTGGAATGCATTTTTCAACATGCACTGAGGCATGTACATGTGCACCACCAGTTGAAACAAAATCTAGCTGTGGACTTTCTGCTAATCACCTGGGCAGTATTTGAATCTCTCCTGAGCTGCTGCCCAAGCGTTCACACCTCCCACTGCCAGTCCCTGCCGGTCCATAGCCACAGGCACCTACCAGACACTCCTGACTTCTCCCCTCTCCCGTCGCTTTCCAGCCCAGCAGCTTTTCTCTCTCTTCCCGCAGAGTCTTCAAATGAGCCTGGATTTTCCCCTGAGGAAACAGAAATGAGCCGGGAGGTTTCATTGTGAGGCTGAGAGGGGTGGAGAACGGGGCGTTTTCCCACCCACAGCCCCAGTGACTGTTGGTCCCAGTCGCTGTGTGACATCAGGACCCACCAACGAGATGAAACTTTATTAATGCAGCCTGGGAGTGTGTCAGAATCTGTCTGTTACCGAGGCAGGTTGAGTCTGTTTAGTAGTTCGAGAGAGAGCTCAGTTATCGCCACGCGTTGTTGGTGTGTGTGAAACGATTGGCGGCGCAGCCCGGGACCGGCCCTGACTCGCTCTGGGGGTGAATCAACACATCTCTGTGTGAGGGGATTGAAATAGCTAAGAGATGCCAAACCCAGGAGCCACCAGGGCTTACACAGGGCTGGGAGCTCAGCTCTGGGGGCTGCGTTGGTTGGACACAGCTGGGCTTGGCACCAGGGCCAGCCCATTAGTTGTAGGGAGGCTCAGCAGAGCAACATCACCACTGGGCCCCTGGGCAAATCACCAGGCTCTTCTGTCTCCCTCCCTTCCCCGTCTGAGGGGAGGCCATTTGCCTAGCTTTTCACTCGGTGGGGCTCTGTCCCTGCCCGGAGGGGACTCAGCCTTGGTCGTGACTCTATCTGGTGAAAAAGGGACAGGAGGCGACTGAGGCTGCAGCAGGACACCTGTGAGGGTGGGGGCAGGAGGGGGCGGCACCTCCACACAGAATGACGTAGGTGGGGATGGTCTGACCGAGGCAGGGACAGGCCCACAGAGGCCGACCAAGCGTTGAGGGTGGGCCTGGGCAGGTAGATGTGAGCATGTCCTGTGCTCTGGGGATGGGTCAGTGGCCCCCGTAATTAAACAGGCTGATTTGTAGTAAGCAGGGTTCAGGTTTGCCCCAGTGCTGCCCTAAACCCTTTTTAGAGCAACGCCCTCTGGGCAGGTACCCGCTGCCCCAGTCCCTGGTACAGCTCCCGGCAGCAGTGCATTCTGGGAGATTCCCACAGGCTGCCTGGTGGGACTAATGGAATCTCTCTGGCTGGTCCGTGCCCAGGTACCCACTGGCACAGGTCAGACCAGCACCGGGCAGCTCCAGTCTGGGGTAGTTTTGCTTCAACGCGATCAGATCCCAGTGGTGCCTGGCACGGCCCTGTACTGCCTGGAGCCCTGTTGTGGGTGGACTCAAGGCTCTCGGTACCCCACACAGCATCCAGCCCAGCGATCAGTGTCCAGCCCAGCGACCTCCTCCAGCGCTGGCTGCAGCATCTGAGTTTAACCCCTCCCGGAGCAGCCCAGGAGTTCAGCATCTCAGTGTGAAACCTCCCCTCCTTGCTGGGCCTGGGCCTGTAGCAAGGCGTCTTTCCCTCCTAACTCTCACATTTCAGCACTGCACTTGAGGTAGCAGCATTCCCTAGTGGTTAAGCTCCTGGACTGGGTCTGGAGAAACTGGGGTTCCATGCTGAACTCAGCCACTGGGTGACTCACAAGCCTTTGTGCCTCAGTTTCCCGCTCCACATTTTGTCTGCCTAGACTGTAAACTGCTCAGGGCAAGGATTGTCCCTGGCTGGGTTTTGGGCGGAGCCTGGATCTCCTGCAACTGTGATGCAAATACAAGTACTAACCCTAAATTCTGGTCATCCAATCTGTAAACCTGAGGCTTACCTGTGCCGATGAAGAAAGGCTTCTTTGTCGGCGCGTCGCGTCCAGACTGCCCCGATCTGCCGACAAACAGCTGATCGGCAGAGCGGGGCAGCCATTTACATTTAAATGAAGCCGCGATTATTTTAATCGTGGCTTCATTTCCCTCTGCCGATCTGCCTAATCTACATGCCTCCGTCGACGGAGGCATGTAGTCTAGACACACCCCCAGTGTCTTTAAAGACTTGGTATTTTGCCTCAGTTGCCCCTGGCCGGAGCATTTCTTTTGTCACAGCCTCTCCCGGGCCAGGCAGGTTTCAGCTGGCTGGTGAGTGGCACTGGGCCAGGGAAAAGTCAGGGAAATTAACCAGTGATTAAAACCCAGTGTAATTCCCAGCAGACAGGGCTGCAGCTCCCTACCTTGTACTCCTGGGCAGCCTCCGTTATGGGCAGCACCGTGTGCGCTTGGTGCACCCGGGACTCTCTGCAGACCACACAGATGGGGGCTTGATCCTCCTCGCAGAACAGCTTCAGCGCCTCCTGGTGCGCCCCGCACACCCCGCCCCCCACACAGATGGGGGCTTGATCCTCCTCGCAGAACAGCTTCAGCGCCTCCTGGTGCGCCCCGCTGCCTGTGGGGCCGGAGGGGGCCCTGCTGCACCGGGGCCCTGCACTGTGGGCAGGGGAGGGCTGGGCCGGGTCCCTCCCAGCACCGGCTGAGGCAGGCGCAGCAGAAATTGTGCCCGCAGGCTGTGACCACCCGGGCTGTGAAATACTCCAGGCAGAGGGGGCACGTCGCTTCCTC